AACAACAACAGAATTGCTTTCATATGTGGATTGTGCAATTGTCACTTTCCCCGATTAAAAAAATTAGTCGTTTGCGTACGTACCGGTATGACTTCGATATTTGGGCAGTCCATTAAAACATTTTAGATGCGCAATGCAGACACCTATCAATCTATCCATATATCTATATTTAGCTGTTCTAATTTTGTCCATTATCGAGATCAGTCAATGGAAACCACGTTTTTTCCATTTTCCGTGGCCTCCCTTGTCAAATGCAAGGACATTCCGCTTATGGCACAACTCATGATGCATCAGCACTATTGTGCTGAAGATGCCATTTAAAATGCACGCGTGTGTCACGGCTGAATGAAAAAGATGTCACCCTGTATCCAGTTTCGAAAGCTTAATCCTTTCACCGTTTTAAAGAAATGCCGGAGGTACCGTAGGGTTTTACTAAGTGTGTGTTGTGAAGGGGGTGCATAAGGAAAATGGTGGACCAGGGTAATAACCGCTGTTCTCTTTCGTTTCCGTTTTTATTTTATTTTATTATTTTTTTTTTCGGGGGGGGGGCAGAGGAGGGCGGGGGGGGGGGGGTTGCAAAAGGAGACTAGGGGGGATATACTTCCGAAACAATAGGAGGGGGGTCACATGGTTCACTGCCTCGCCTTGACTCCGCAATCGTAGAAGGAAGATTTTTTTATCATAGAAACGTCTCCTTATTTATTTTTATTTCTATTTTTGTATTTTTATTTTTGTATTTTATTTGTCTATATTGTAACTGACGGGTGTGCATTTTGAGATAATAATAATGAATGAAGGCACATTTTACAACGATCACATACTGGTACATGTATCATGAGCCTGTTTGTTTGGAAGTCATGTCGCTATACGCCATTAACAGCGTTGTTAAATTTTTCAAATATTTACATTATAGTTATGTTCCAATGACACGTGAAACACAATAGTAGCAGACTAACAGGTTAATAAAACCATTGTGATTATTTGACAATATGTAAGAAATTCAAATAAAAAGCAATATTTATATATGAGGGAAAATGATACTTAAAATCCATATTCTATAGCAGCAACAAGATTCTCGTTTGTGTTTGGGTGGTGGTGTCCCATCACAAGATCAAATGTTGTACTTTGGTTTAGTCCTAAACATTCAAAATGTTTATTTGTTTGCACGCAAATTAATTATGTGTTCATACTACAAGTATATTCAAGAGCCTAGAAGTATCATTTACCTAGCGCACTGCCAATTAAAAGTAAAGGCTCCCGATACGCTGGTGCGAAATAACACGCATAGCGAATTTTCAGGCAAAATAGACATTTTTACCTCCGCCAAGGAGGTTATGTTTTTTCCCCTGTTTGTTTGTTTGTTTGTTTGTCATCAAAATAACTCAAAAAGTCATGGATGAATTTCAATGGAATTTTCAGGGTAGGTCAGAAATGGGTTAACTTAGAAGTGATAAGTTTTTGGTGGTGATCTGGATCCATAATCAATCAATAATCAATAATCTAAAATCAAAAAACTAAGTTATGGACCGATTTTGATGGAATTTTCAGGAACTGTCAGAAGTGGGCCAAGGAAAAGATGATAAGTTTTTGGTGGTGATCAGGATCAATAATCAATCAATAATCAATCAATAATCAAAAATAAAAAACTAAATCATTATAGAATGAAAATTTAGGGGGTGAAACGGCATTGGGTGGAGACTTTGCTGCCTTGGCAGAGGTTTGCGCTTTCGGAGTGCTTTTCTAGTTTAGAGTAATGGATCACCACGCTACATGTATAAGATTCCAAGCTGGAAATAGTATACGCTGCAGAACATGGATTCTAAGATTTTATTTTCTGTCGATTTTAAATCCGTAATCAAGACAAATAATGAGCAAATGCGTACAGAAAACAGGTACATGTGAAAAGGTGAAATTAAGTTCTATATGTTGTAGTTTTTGAACGTTATTACCTTTAAGTATAATGTTACAAGCGATGAAGTTTAGCCTGTGTTTCGTCTACATGTAAATAAAAAAACACAGGCTTCGTGTGGGGGGCTACACCTTTAGATGTACCTGGTAGGCTACTTGCATATATTTAACCTTAGTTGATCAGAATAGTGGTGTTAGTAGGTTAATTGGGAGATCCAACTACGTATATAGTCTGTTTAAGTATATGATTGGCATAAAGCCTACCATGATGTGGGAGACGCGTATTGGCTTCAATTTGATAAATTAGATGCTGCGACCCACCGATTCATTTTAGACAAACACCAATTAATTTTGAACTGTTACCTGTAGCATAAAAATGTAAGAAACAAACAAACAAAAAGCACACACGCACGCACACACACAAACACACACACACACACACACACACACACACACACAAAAAAAACAAAAAAAACAATCCACATCTGTTCCAGTTTTGTTCTCCTTCGAAATACCTGTAGAAGTCATCTCTGGAGAGAAGTTTAATCAAATATGGTGCTTGGTCGTCCTTGATGCGGATGCTGGCACGCCGTTTCACCAGCAGGCTTCTTTTTATGGCCCTGCACGCCTGAACTTGACGTGTGACGTTTAGGCGTTTCTTCTTGTCTTGTCAAATAAACCTACTACTACAAACTTCCAGTTAATTTTCACTAACATTTCCTCTTTTCTTATCGGACGAGTGGCTGAAGGCGCACAATTTATAGAAACTGGCACTTGGTGAGAAATTTTTCAGTCTCTTTGAGGCAACAGGTGCACAGTGGGGACATTTTTGGTGGTCTTGTTTTGAGGTGATGATCTGATACAGTACCACTCTGAGAGCCTCCGTGATCGCGGCCGGCACGTTTCTCACACCGGGTTATCCTTCTTATCAAGATCTTTTTTGAAAACTTTCTCCTGTCTGTTCTCCAGTAGATGAAATTCACAGAAACAAATAAATAAATACAGTAAGAAAAAAAAAAAGAAAGAAAGAAAGAAAGAAAGAAAGAAAGACAGGCAGACAGACAGAAAGAAAGAAAGAAAGAAAGAAAGAAAGAAAGAAAGAAAGAAAGTATAAAAATGCATTTAGGATAAAAACTTTATGGCTTGAACAAAAAGAAAAATAAATTAATATGCGACGTGCCCGTGCAAAGATGAAAAGTGCAGACCATTACAAACGCAAATGCACCCAACCTATCCCTGAGGGCCAGAGGGTCCGACACGATTGGTCAGCAACAATAAGTGGTAAGACCTTTATATCACAGTGAGTTTCAGAATCTTTGCTTGGATGGACCTCTTTGTGAAAGTGGCGTAATTGATAGGACGTCAAATGTCTGGCGTTAGCGGAGAGACAAGACCCGTTTGTGTTAAAACATCAAAAACCTGTGGAAATAGTTGACCGCGTAGTGACCTAGAGCCAAATATATTTGAGAGACATTTTGAGGTACGATATATGTCAGACACATGTCCAAATTTTACCTTTCCTATGACTGTTTCAGCGCAAGTATCATCTGTTTAATAAAATACGTCGAACGAAATCTAAGCGAGGGAAGGACATGTTTTTTCTTTAGTTTCTTTTGAATGATCAACATTTTCATGCCCCTCGCTAAGGTTGCACTCATACATATATTGTTAAAATTTCTCATTGAAAAAGTTCCAAGGCGGGAAGAGGGGGGGGGGGGGGGTAGTACAACGTATTACTTGACAAGTAATCACAAAACCAATGATACCAGGTAAAATGAGCGATGAAATACATGTATGAACAATTACACTCTCTTCACAAAACTAACTTACCCACTTTTGAAAGAATAAACAAAAACTTTCCACCGAAAATGGAAAGACATTTCTCTTAAGAGAACTTTGTGCGTTTACTGGGGTATGTCGAAAGTTGATGTTAACACATTCGCAAATGTTTCGTTAAACTTTAATTGGTGGTTCCAAAAATGTAATCATTATTCAAAGAATAATAGACTAAGACTCACTTAGGTTTAATCAGGTGACACCAACAACTTTTGTTCACATCCTGCCCATGAAGTGTCTATATAGTAGCTATTTACCAGGTGTAAATAAATTTCAAAATACTAGGATGACACTTGGACGTGATTAAATTCTTAATGGTACAGTACTGCCTTTGGGTGCCTCCGCTTTTCTACTCTAATACCTGCTTTCTTAAACATAAAATTTGATTATCTCTATAAATTATCGAAAATTCCACAAATTTAAAGTTGATCACTGGAAGGTACCCATAGGAATAAAAATCCCCAAATATACTGTAACTAGAAGGAAGAACATGGAATTATAATAAATTTTTATAATTTTAAATCGTAGATGCAATACTCTTTTGGAATATTCCATCATTTTGACGAAGAGTGTAAATATCCATATATTTCCATGCATGAACGCGACAACATAATTGCAAGTTAATACAGGACAAGATTTCCACCCAAATAATTAACGAGGACATGTCTTTAATACAAAACACGAAAAAAAAAAAAAAAAAAAAAAAAAACAGCACCCCCGAAAGCTGATGAAAAATCGGCAGTAGTTTTATTCGTCTTTGTGAATTAGAAAATCTGTTATCAATGTTGACATGAGATAACTCTTGTCACTTAACAGCCGTCGGCGTAGCTCAGGCGATATTGTCTGAGCCTAACCTGGGAATTATTTATTACAATAAAATATTTTCATATAATAGACTGGAGAAGTGCCTGACCGTTTGACACCTAGTTTTTTGTTATATTAGCGCTCATTAAAACATCCAATAAAAGAGGTCACAATAACAGTATGGCCCTTTAATCTTGTTGACATGTTCGTGTCGTTAAACAATATCTAATAGAAGTTGCGCGGGCAGAATGTTAATGTTTCATCGTGTCCTGACTTTAACATTGTTTTGCGATTGCAATTAATACCCATCCACCTGCGCACGCGTGTAGTGTTGCCATGCGAACTGCTGAACCAACGTAAAAAGCTGATACCCTTGTCCAAGACCCACTTTGGTCTCTAGCGACTGGAGTGAGCAGCATTATTTTACCGTTTTCCATGTTATAAATGATAAGAAAAAACATTAGCAAGCAAAAGAAAGGAACTTCACAATGCGTTTGCCACTGTAAGTACTGGTTTTAACTTCTTTGCTTTTGTTTTCTGTTTTTATCGCCACTCGAAGACGGTGTTATCATAATTGTAACCATTTCTCATTTCATCCTGAAGATCTTTTTGTCATAAACTGGAGGGTGAAAAAAGAAACGGTTGAATTCATGAAAAGCGAATCAGTTTTTGTTTATCATTTTCGATATTTTTTCAATTACGTAGCAATTGAAGGTTATATTATTCCAGTTTATTCAAACCTAGGATTACATATTATTGCGACATGTTGAATCCTTGTTCAAACAAAGTGCGTCTTTGTTTTAGCGCTTTCACATTAGCGGGTCGTTCACCGGAATAACTGGCTAACACCCAGGCGACATCACCTTTGATTTGTAGTTATGCAACGATGGTCTGCTGTCCCTTTATATTACACCCAGTTGCTTGTCGTACAAAGAAATGTCTTTTCCCCAACAACACGACACACGTGTAAGGTCAGTTGACAACTTAAAGTGGCGTTTGACGCGTGACTGATGAATTTGCAGACTTCAGTTGTGCTAGAGACTTTTTAGTGGGTTTTCACTTACGCGTATACCAATGGCAAAGTTTTGCTACATACCTATACTTACCATATATTTATCATTATACTACACAGTATTGAGCTATATATATAGAATCAGAATCAGAAGTTTATTGACAATCGCCCTACATCCGGGCATGATCAAATACAAATACAAGAAGTAATCCGCAGAGTGATTACCATATACAGTTTGATATACATTATTTAATGTCTAGACTAAAGCAGGGAAAGTACATGTACTACTCAATAAAGATCAATATAGGGATAATTAAAAAAAAAAAAAAACTAATTCAACTAGAATAGGCTACACTAAACCTTATATTAAACTAACTATTATTTAGGGGGATATGAAAACTGCATCGTCAGTTAATCTAGGTTTTATTCAGCATGGAATTTATTATACTATACAGCGTCAAGCTTCATAAGAACCATGCCCTATTGAGCGCATTTATTTGATGACCTGGATCATTAATCACATATCTTGTACATGTAGCCTAAGACCTTGAAAGATCGTGTTGTGACAAGAAGTAACGCACCCTTGCCAAAAGCTATTCGTGATGAAGAAATATTTGTGTAAACTGGTGCTTCTTCAATCATGTAAGTCAGGACCAAAACAATGTCAACATTACTTTTTATAATACCCGCAGAAAAATTACATTGCTACTTTCACACAGGAAGACATCCCTTGGGTCTCTCAAGGCCGTTGGAGGCCCAATAAGGCTTAGTGACTGCCCAGGTCGTTGACAGGTGGTTCACAGGACGTTAAAACATGGTGGTCGATTTTTAAAAATGCGTTTTATTGTGTACATGTTAAACCAACCTAACTAAGATTACCGAGGGGTTGACTGATCAAAAGTGACACGTACAAAACACAATTCCATTTACTCCATTGAACGTCCTGGTCATTTTTGGTATCTTATATGTGGCAGGCCTACAAAAGTCCCTGAATCTACAGTTTGTCGTATTGAAGCTTTTGACATTTTTTTAAATCGTAAGCCAGTAGGCCGTAGCAATATCTGCACAGTTCCCAACCGGCATTTCTCGGTAGATTAGTGGTGATCGTAGTACGATGTTATGGGTGGACCTAGCCTGTTATTGGTCTTTTTGGTCCCCTTTCCCTTACCCCTATGGTGGTTTTAGGAGGCATAACAGTATTTAATATGTTTAAAACCTAGTCACTTTAATTTGTATGTATTTGAAACAGCGTGTCTCCTTATTTGGGCCACATGGGTGCTAAAAACACAAAGCATCAATCAGTCAGGAAGGTTACGGCAATTACACTGAGGTAGACAGGTCTCCGTAAAATCACTTTTCAACGACAAAAAAAAAAAAAAAAAAAAAAAAAAAAAAAAAAAAATCCCGAACTGACAGTATGGTCCAATGGGAAAAATGACATGGCGCTCGTATATAATGAAATCATACTCGCCGTAGGCCGTAGCCACTTACGATGAAAAGAAAGTCGCATATAAAAACCGAATACGTTTCCATCGTAAAGTGCCCTTGGCAAGTGTAACCTAGGGTCAAGTAACTGCTTTGCGTGTAGATGGAAATTACAAGTGACAGAAGTCAATAAGATATATAGAAAATTCAACCACGCAGGCGTTCGTCTTACAAATTAGCTGAGCAGTTTCTTTTTCTGAAACCATCTACCTTCCTCGGTGTTCGCGACGTTTTCAAGTACATAAAGGACTCAAATTCTCATAAGAATATCAAATTGTTTTTGATATGTGTTCTTTTTTCCGTTTTCTCTATTTCTTTTATAAGCCGTAAAAAATAGTGGCATTTGAGCTTATATCCATAAAGTTCCTTAATTCACTCTGTAACATACAAGAAAACTTTGAAATGACGCAAAAAAAAAAAAAAAAAAAAAAAAAACTAACATGCATTTGCGTCATGCCACGAAGGGTTCACCTTTTTTCAAAATAAACAACTTCCGCATTTCCAACAACACAAACAATAACATTCTAGCAATACCCACACCTCTGAAATAGTTTACACACAAGGTGCACGTCAGAGATAATTGTGCCAGGATCAAGGTTAGGAGTCGTCACTAAATTAGGTAAGTGGCACCTCGGTTTTACGCATGCGTGAACAGCACGCTACCGATTGAGGGTCATTCTAGGTGTGAAAGTTTCCGTAGTTTTTTTACAGGTCAAAGGAACATTAACTAAAAAAAAACATTTGTAAAATCCTCATTCCTTTTCATGTTAGTTATGGATCATTCGGGCACATATCCTTATTTTGTTAAATTTATTTTATTTGTCACTTTGGCTTCATTCACATGGAAAGTCTATTTTCTAAATTCTATTTTCTATTCGCGGTATGTCTTGTGATCACGGTCTGTGCCCTGAATATCCCGCGGCGTAATTACTGGCAGCGCGAGCCAGTTACTTAATACCAAGCTGAAATTAATTCTCGGCTGTGCTCGGAGGAGATTCTGATACCTTGACGCATGCGCAGTAGGAAGTGATCATGATCCGATGGCAAGCGATGCGGCAACGGAGGATGAGATTTTATAGAATGCGAGCACAGCCGAGAATTAATAACAGCTTTGTATACGTAACTGGCTCGCGCTGCCAACAATTACGCCGCGGGATATTCAGGGCACAGACCTTGATCATAAGATACCGCGAATAGAAAATATATTTTAGAAAATAGACTTTCCATGTGAATGAAGCCTTTGTTAAATAAGGCTTCATTCACATGCAATGTCTATTTTCTAAATTCTATTTTCTATTCGCGCTATCTTATTATCACGGTCTGTGCCCTGAATATCCCGCCGCGTAATTACTGGCAGCGCGAGCCAGTTACTTATAGTAACTTATAGTAACTGGCTCGCGCTGCCAGTAATTACGCCGCAGGATATTCAGGTCACAGACCATTATCATAAGACATACCGCGAATAGAAAATAGAATTTAGAAAATAGACATTGCATGTGAACGAAGCCTAAGTTTAGGTTTCTGAAATACATCTCAAATACATTACAATAAAACACACCGATAAGATTTTCGCCATTCCAAGGGAATTCACGAACGTCACGTGACAGTAGTAGCGCAGATAAAGTGATACGATTTCAAGGTTATTGTCACGTGCAAGATCAAACTCACATAGCTTGTATCTGTGAAATATTTTGTAACATATCATGACGAAAAATAGCGACGGATTGTCCGTATGTTTTCCAGAGTTAATATCTGGATAGATTCATTAAAACTATTAAATTTAGAGATTAGGTTCAGATAGGTCATTATGTACCAGTAAGTGGTGAAAAGCAGATGGGCACAATTTTACTGCAATATGTAGTTTTCAATGATGGAAAAATGTTAATGATTTTTTGGCAGGTATAGGGGGAGAAGGGTGTATTGCAGAATTTGAGGGGCGGACACGTGACCGCTTTGTCATTAACCCTGAAATTAGCTGTCATTATATCTTACCTGATTTGTCCTTATACATCATACATATACGCAGCCTGTTAGTATCTGTCTTTTATTTCACATGGAATTCTCACGAGATTCGCCGTGTCTCAGAGACCTCTCCAACTGCCCGTACCAGCGTGAATTTTTTTAAAACCAAGATTTAACCTTGAAACTGCAACAAGTACTTTATAATAATTGGGAAAAAGGGGATGTCGCAACAGCCTGTTCCAGTATATAATATGGGGACAGTTCGCAGGAATGCTATGCGGATTTTGCGTGCAGACAAAAAGACCTTTGGATTATATAAAAGCTTTTCTGTAATACATGTTTTAAATTGGGACCTGTCGGTGGAAGGTCACTTGACCCTTTAGAAAAAAAATCTCAGTGTCATTATAAGTAGGTTGGCCCATCTTTAAGTATCAATGAAAAAAGTGCCTTGATACATACTTGTTCTTATCAGTGGTTTGAGCATAAGTCGATATGCACAGTGTCAATTAGTGGATCTAGTACATTAAAATAGGGCGTGGTGGTGCTTGCTACCCCACCCACCTCAGGCTGCTAAGTAATCTCTTTTTTGCTATGAAATTTGGTGGGGATGTTGATCAACAATAACAGCAACAACAACAACAAAAAGAAACGTTTTATTTTCACGATGACTGTTCAGAGTTGTGATCGATGTAGATTCGATGTTGAATAGATTTAGATACAACGACATTGCTTCTTCGTTGATATTTGAACCCAAATATACAATGTGCAATTTTCTTGCATTTTGTACTACTAATACTACCCCTACACCCACTCTTACTGCTATTTCTACTACTATTACTACTACTACTACTACTATTACTACTACTACTACTAATAATAATAATACTGTAGTAAGGGTTTATTGTACTATCTTTGCAATACATTAAATGTGTGTTAAAATGGAATAAGATTTAAAAGAGAATTAATTACAGTTAACTGCTTTGCCTTCTATCTATTTCAACATCGTAAACTGGCATCATTTTCATGACGTGTGTATTTCTGAA